TGATCCACCTCCCTATTTCTTAGCCAGTACCAAGCAGTTTTGATGATTGCTGCTTTATAATACAATTTAAGATCTGGAATTGCTAGGCCACCTTCCCCTGCATTTCTTTTCATTAGTTCCTTTGATATTCTGGACCTTTTTTTTTCCAAATGAATCTTGTTATTATTTTTTCTAACTCTATAAAATAATTTTTTGGTAGTTTGATTGGTATGGCACTGAATAAGTAAATTAGCTTAGGTAGGATTGTCATTTTTATTATATTAGCTCGGCCTACCCATGAGCAACTGATGTTTTTCCAATTATTTAGATCTGATTTTATTTGTGTGAAAAGTGTTTTGTAATTGTGTTCATAGAGTTCCTGGGTTTGTTTCGGGAGGTAGACTCCTAAATATTTTATAATGTCTACAGTAAGTTTAAATGGGATTTCTCTTTCTATCTCTTGCTGTTGGGCTTTGTTGGTAATATATAGAAATGCTGATGATTTATGTGGGTTTATTTTATAGCCTGCAACTTTGCTAAAGTTGTTTATTATTTCAAGTAGTTTTTTACTTGATTCTCTAGGATTCTCTAAGTATATCATCATGTCATCTGCAAAGAGTGATAGCTTTGTTTCTTCTTTGCCTATTCTAATGCCTTCAATTTCTTTTTCTTCTCTTATTGCTAAAGCTAAGGTTTCCAGTACAATATTGAATAACAGTGGTGATAATGGACATCCTTGTTTCACCCCGATCTTATTGGAAATGCTTCTAGCCTGTCCCCATTACATATAATGCTTGCTGAAGGTTTTAGATATATGCTATTTATTATTTTAAGGAAGACTCCATTTATACCTATGCTTTCTAGTGTTTTTAATAGGAATGGGTGTTGTATTTTATCAAAAGCTTTTTCTGCATCTATTGAGATGATCATGTGGTTTCTGTTGGTTTTGTGTTGATATGCTCAATGATGCTGATAGTTTTCCTAATATTGAACCAACCCTGCATTCCTGGTATAAATCCTACCTGGTCATAGTGTATTATTCTTGTGATAAGTTGCTGAAGTCTACTTGCTAGCATTTTGTTTAAAATTTTTGCATCTATATTCATTAGAGAAATTGGTCTATAATTTTCTTTCTCTATTTTGACTCTTCCTGGTTTAGGTATCAACACCATATTTGTATCATAAAAAGAATTTGGTAAGACTCCTTCTTCACCTATTTTCCCAAATAGTCTATATAGTATTGGAATTAATTGTTCTTTAAATGTTTGATAGAATTGCATGTAAATCCATCTGGCCCTGGAGATTTTTTCCTAGGGAGTTCATCAATGGCTTGTTCAATTTCTTTTTCTGAGATGGGGTTATTTAAGTATTTTACTTCCTCTTGTTAATCTGGGCAATTTATATTTTTGTAAATATGTATCCATTTCACTAAGATTGTCAAATTTGTTGGCATATAGTTGGGCAAAATAATTCCTAATTATTGTTTTAATTTCCTCTTCCTTGGTGGTAGCTTCGCCCTTTTCATTCTTGATACTAGTAATTTGGTTTTCTTCTTTCTTTTTTTTAATTAAATTAACCAAAGGTTTATCTATTTTATTTTTTTCATAAAACCAGCTCTTAGTTTTATTTATTAGTTCAATAGTTTTCTTAATTTCAATTTTATTAATTTTTCCTTTGGTTTTCAATATTTCTAATTTGGTGTTTAGTTGAGGATTTTTAATTTGTTCTTTTTCTAGTTTTTTTAGTTGTATGCCCAATTCATTAATCTCCTCTTTTTCTATTTTATTTATGTAAGCATTTAGAGATATAAAACTTCCCCTAAGAACTGCTTTCGCTGCATCCCATAGGTTTTGGTATGTTGTCTCATTATTGTCATTCTCTTGAATGAAATTATTGATTGTTTCTATGATTTGTTGTTTGACCCAATCATTTTTTAGGATTAGATTATTTAGTTTCCAATTATTTTTTAGTCTATCTTTCCATGGCCCTTTATTACATATAATTTTTATTGCATCATGATCTGAAAAGGATGCATTTAATATTTCTGCCTTTCTGCATTGGATTGTGAGGTTTTTATGCCCTAGTACATGGTCAATTTTTGTGTATGTGCCATGTACTGATGAGAAAAAGTATATTCCTTTCTATCCCCATTCAGTTTTCTCCAGAGGTCTATCATACCTAACTTTTCTAATGTTCTATTCACCTCCTTAACTTCTTTCTTGTTTATTTTGTGGTTAGACTTATCTAGTGCGAGAGGGGAGGTTCAGGTCCCCCACTAGTATAGTTTTGCTGTCTATTTCTTCCTGTAACTCCCTGAACTTCTCCTGTAAGAATTTGGATGCTATACCATTTGGTGCATATATTTAGTAATGATATTACTTCATTGTCTATGGTGCCTTTTAGCAGGATGTAGTTTCCTTCCTTATCTCTTTTGATTAGATCTATTTTTGCTTTTGCTTTGTCTGAGATCAGGATTGCTACCCCTGCTTTTTTTACTTCAGCTGAGCATAATATATTCTGCTCCAGCCTTTTACCTTTACCCTGTATGTGTCACTCTTTTTCAAATGTGTTTCCTGTAAACAACATATTGTAGGATTATGGTTTTTAATCCATTCTGCAATCCATTTCCGTTTTATGGGAGAGTTCATCCCATTCACATTCACAGTTATGATTACTATCTCTGTCTTTTTCTCCATCCTTTTCCCCCATTTATGCTTTTCTTTCTCCTTTTCCTTTCCCCTTCACTAGTGTTTTGCTTTTGACCACCGCCTCCTTCAGTCCCTCCCCTTTTATTATCCCTTTCCCTTTTCTTCCCCTTTAGTCTTACTGCTGCTTCCCTCCCTTCTTTCCCCCCTCCCTTCTTTCCCCACTCCCTTTTCTTTCCCCTTTTCCCTCCTACTGCCTATAGGGCAAGTTAGATTTCTATACCTAACTGATTATATTATGCCCTTCTTGAGCCAAATCTGATGAGAGTAAGGTTCAAACAATGCTCCCCCCCCTTCCCTCTGCTGTAATAGGATTTTGTGTCTTTTCCTGTAATGTAATTTACCCTTGTCTGCCTCCTCCTTTCTCAGTACATTTTCTAAGATCAGATTGATCCACTTATTTGGATCCATTTAACCCACTTGATTAGATTTTTTTTTATCATTACATCAAAGTCAACTAATATCCACCCTCTTTATGTATACTCCTTTAACAAGGTGTAATAACAATACAGTTCTCAAGGGTTGCAAGTCTCATATTCCCTTGTAGGGGTTTACCCCCCCCTTATTAACAACATATTGTATCTTCTGTCCCATTTACCTTTTTAAGTCCTTCTTGAGTCCTGTACTTGAAGATCAAATTTTTTGTTGAGCTCTGGTCTTTTTATCAGGAAAGTTTGGAAGTCTCCTATTTCGTTGAATATCCACCTCTCCCTTGAAAAATGATGCTCATTTTTGCTGGGTAATTGATCCTTGGCTGCATTCCAAGCTCCTTTGCCTTAGAATATCATGTTCCATGCCCTGCGGTCTTTTAATGTAGAAGCTGCAAGGTCCTGTGTAATCCTGACTGTGGTTCCATGATATTTAAATTGTTTCTTTCTGGCTGCTTGCAGCACCTTCTCTTTCATCTGGTAATTTTGGAATTTTGCTATTATATTCTTGGCGTTGTCAATTTGGGATCTCTTTCAGGTGGTGATGGTGGATTCTTTCTATGGTTATTTTCCCTTCTGGTTCTAGGACTTCTGGGCAGTTTTCCTTTATGATTTCCTGAAAGATACTGTCCAGGCTCTTTTTTTCATCATGATTTTCAGGTAGTCCAATAATTTTTAAATTGTCTCTCCTGAGTCGATTTTCCAGGTGGTTGTTTTACTGATGAGGTATTTTACATTTTCATCTATTTTTTCATTTTTTTGTTTCTGTTTGACTGATTCTTGCTCTCTCATAGAGACATTAGTTTCCATTTGTCCAATTCTAGTTTTTAACAGATTGTTTTTTTTCTGTTAGTTTTTGTACTTCCTTCTTCAATTGGCCAATTGTGTTTTTTAGGGACTTGTTTTCTTCAGTGTATTTTTTTTTTCCAATTGGCCAATTTTATTTTTGAAGGACTCTTCTACCTCTCTCATTTGACTATTAAAATCCTTCTTGAGCTCTTCTAAGAAGGCTTTTTGGGCTTCAGACCAGTTCATATTCCCTTTTGTTGTTGCAGATGTGGGTTTGTTGACAATGTTGTCCTCTTCAGAATTTCTGTCTTGATCTTCACTCTTCTCATAATATGAATCTATGGTATGTTTCTTTTTACTCATGGTGTTTCTTTATTCCCTGGCCTTTAAAGAGATTGAGCTCTCCTGCTGGGGAACAGAGGGTACTGACCCAAGCTTCTTGTGTTGGGAGCCTAGGTCTTGGTCACTGGCTTTGTGTGCTGGGGCCTCTTATGCTGGAATTGGAGGCTGTAGGTTTCTGGCAGCTTACCTTGTGTTGGGCTGGAATCAGCAAGGCTGGAACTTTCAGGCAATTCTAGGTTGCCTGCTTTTCCTTTCCTTTAGCTTTCTTCAGCTCCTTTTAGATGGCTGCTGCAGGGTGTTTATCTGCCTGGGGCCCCTTGCAGTGTTGTCTCCCTCTTTCTGCTAATGCACTGGGAGATTCCTTTGGTGGAGTGCCGAGGCTCCTGGTGGTTTTCTGAGCTGGTTTCCACCGGTTCCCCCTGCCCTCACTGAGGCACTTGGAGGCCCAGGTGTTGGTGTTTCCCTGCTCTACCACCTGGGCTTCAGGATTTCTTCACAATTGGAGGCTTCAGGGCTCCTAAAGCTCACCTGGTATTCGGTTGGAATCAGCAAGGCCCCGGCTTGAGGAAGCCTTTAGGTTGTTTTCTTCACCTGCTTTCAGATGAATGCTGCAGGGTACTTGTCCACCTAGGGCCCCTTGTAGTTCTGCCTCCCTTATTTTTGCTGAGGCAGTGGGAGACCCGTTTGCTGGGCTGCTGCACTGGTGCTCCTCGTCTTTCTTCTAGTTCTGGTGTTCCAGGGTTTTTTTTCCTGGGGTGATATTTTCTGGGTTTTCAGAGGTTGATAGGGGAGAGTGAGAGCGACTACCTTTTCACGGCTCCTGGAAGCGGAACTAATAGTCCTCCATCTTGCAATGCTAGTAAATGTAGCACTTACTATCTAAAGAACACAAGGAAGAACGGTCTTATAATTTGAGTCTAAATAAAACTTTACATAAAGTTCTTACCTTAAATGTATAGGGTTATTAATATTTTGTGATTCAAAATGTTATTACTCAGAGTTGTACTCTAAGACATCCATTTTCAATGTTACATTTCCTGTAGAATGATCGCATAAATAGCATTATTGCTGAAAGAAGATGGGTAGGTCAAAAGATGAAAATTTGATTTTAATATATTTAAGTAAAATACAAAAATGAATCATATAGATGAAAATATAAACAGGTCCTTTAGAATGTAGAGGCAATTTTGGGATGTTGTTTTGCTGTAGTCTTTTTGCCAGAATTTTATTTGACTATTTTGAATCAATATGTGTTAATGACATTGGTCTATAGTTCTTTTTCTTCCTTTCATCCTTCCTTAAAGTTTCAGCATTGTTAATGTTTAAGAATAGTACTAATAATGTGAATTGTTCATTAAATTTAGTAGAATTCACTTGTAAATACACCTCTCTTTGGTAGTTCCATTAGTTAGTTCAATTTCTTTTTCTGAAATTGAATTAAGTTTGGTATTGTTTTGTTAATATCTTTAATATCTTCATCTCTTTTACATTCTTACATGTAACAGGATTGTATGCAGTAGACTGCAGATTTTGTATTGTGCTACCAGTTCATGTACATTTTTCTCTGTTGTAATTACACTCTATTTTAGTAGTTTGATTTTTAACAATTAGGACGCATAAAAATACTACCACTGAAGAGCTTAAAACTTTAGGCTTTTGCAACACGCAATGCCAACGGGGTGAGGAGGAATTCCTTTCCCTTGACTATAAAGCTTAGGACGTTTCTGTCGTTAAAAAGAAAATTACTGCCGAGAAAAGAAATGCTTCAAATCAGCCTTCGGTACTAAAGTGAAACATTATTACAAACGCTGACGCAGGAAATCCCCAGCTTTCTCCATACAGCCCAGCAGGGAGGTGCGGACTTTCTCCTTCGGTTCGTCCCCCGCCCTCTACCCCGTCCTATTAACGAAATGAGCTCGTTCAAAAGCAGGGCAAACAGGGTTAACTGAGCGAACGGAAGGCGTGAACCTTTCGGGGCAACCGCAGGTGCTCAGAGGCTACCACACGCGCGGCCCGGAGAAGGGGACCCGGCATCCCCCTCATCCAGCGCGCTGCGGCGGGGGGGGGGGCGGACCTGACGAGACAGGGCGGGAGGGGAAGGAAGGCGCACCTCTGACCCGCAGCCCCACGCTCTCCACTCGCACTCATGCCCAGCGAAGGAGACTGGAAAGGTGAGCGGGGGCGCGGGCTGCTGGCATGGGGGGAAGGACTCCCGAGTCGGCCGCGCCACCCCCGCCCGCGGCTCCGGGGAACTCCACCCAGCAGCTGCCGGAGGGAGGGGAAGGGGAAGGGCCCGCGCGACTGGAGCGCAGCGAACCGCCCTTGCTACCCTCGCGCCAGCCCAGGTGGGTCTGTCCCGCCTTCTCCTCCTCGCCTTCCTTTTGAGCACTCGGAAAGCCGCTAGGCAGGGAAGTGTCGTAAAGCTGGGGACAGGAAACTTTACCGGGGGGGTAACAGCGACGGCGCTTTACGGCAGGGGAGGCTGAGTGAAAAAACTCGGCGGCGGCGGCGGCGGCGGGGCAGCGGCGGCGCGGCCAAGGAGGAGGCGGAGGCGGCAGCGGAGGAGGAGAGGAAGGAGGCGGCAGCGGAGGAGGAGGAGGAGCGGCGGCGGGGACTGGTGTGGGGTTAGTGGCGCGGAGGCGCAGCGGAGGGGGGCGGCAGGCCCGGCGGCCCGGCCTGGGCGCTGGGGGAGGAGGCGGCGGAGGGTGCCGCCGGGCAGCTGGGCGGCGCTGTGAAAGGAGAGGCGGGGGTCATCATAAAGGGTCTGGGGGCAGCTGCTCCGGGAGGGCCGGCTTCCGTCTTTGTTCCCCTCCCCTCGCCCCGCTTACGCTCCCCGCCCTCGCCCCCTTTGCCTTCACCCGGAGCAGCGGCCCGGACTCATGGGCGCCTTTCTCGGTCTGTGCCGCTTCTAGGATGGCGGAGATACCGCCCGGGCCTAGCAGCCTCCTCCCGCCGCCGCCGGCCGCGGCCGAGCCCTGCTGCCCCTGCCCCGCGGGGGCCGCCCCGGTCTGCTGTAGCGAGGACGAAGAGGACGACGAGGAGCACCGAGGAGGAGGAGGAGGAGGAAGAGAAGGCGGCGGCCGGGGCCGGGGCCCGGGCCCGGCCGGCGAGGCGGCCGCCTCCAAGGGGCATCAGCGTCTCCGCTGCCCGCAGCCTCCGCCGCCGCCGGCGCCGCTGGCGCAGCAGCAGCAGCTCAACGGGCTGATCAGCCCCGAGCTGAGGCACCTGCGGGCAGCCGCCTCCCTTAAGAGCAAGATCGTGGGCGCCGCCGACGCGGCCTCGGGCCCCGCCGCCGACGGGAGTGCGAGGGCGACTGCAGCCAAAAGAGCTGGGCAGCCCCCCAGTGAGAGACCCCCTCACCCTCTCCCCACTAATGCAAGAACTGCGCCCCCAAACCCTGCGGCACCGGCGGCAGCGGCAAGCGGCCTGGCGTCGGCCCGCAATGGACTGGCTGGAGGGACTGAGCAAGAGGAAGAGGAGGAGGAGGAGGAAGATGAATCGCTGCTGCTGCTCTCCTCGTCCCTGACGGCCGTCTGCGGCTTAACCACCTCCTGTGACAGGGAGGCAGAACCTGAGGAGGATCGGACGATACGATATGTCCGATACGAATCCGAGCTGCAAATGCCCGATATCATGAGACTGATCACCAAAGATCTGTCTGAACCCTACTCCATTTATACCTATAGATATTTTATCCACAACTGGCCACAGCTATGCTTCTTGGTAAGTGGGTGGAAGGAGAAAAAGGGGGTGACCCCTCAGAGGATCCAGACCATGCAGGGGAGGGAATGTGTGGCAGCTGACACGTTTCCTGAACCCCTGCATTTTATGGCCCAGAATTCGGTGTAAAGTAAAATAGACACACAGTTATCTGAGGGTTGTTTTTTTAAAACTGTTTTGAAGGTAAGAAATCGTGGATAGGGTCAACTGTATTGATGTAATGGAAGTTTAATGTGAAGGGGTTGGGGGTCTTCTGTCATGTATGATGATAGTAATTGTGTTTTAACGAAATTTTGAGATCTGTTCATCATCTTCTAAACACTTTACAGTTATTAACTTTGAACATGATTCTACTCAGATGCAGGCTGTATTGATCTTTCAGAGGAGAAATGTATCCAAAATTTTTGTACTGCTAATAGAGTAATCAAAAACATATTTTGATGAGCCTGATTGTCTATAATGATGTGGCTGAGTTGAAGCATTAAATCTTACAAACACATTCTGTAATCGTAGAGATTTTTCTTTTGAAACTTTAGGACAGTTAACTGTAGCTGGCCTGGTTTTTGGTGTGCTACTGACGCTTATTTTAGCTTTGAACTTAAAATCAAAGGAGATGCACTTGCATAAGATGTGGAAAACCAGGTGTGAAATTGTTACAAATTTTCTTAAGTTTAGGATGGGCAGACACCAAAAAATAAGGGCTTTTGTGTGCCATGTACATCTGGTAAAAGAGATTGCTGTGTTTTAAATTAGCATGATTTTCTCTTTATTAGTGAGAAGAGACAGATAATCTATATCTATCTGTCTATATATGTGATTTTTTTAATGCATTCAGCTAGCAAGTTTTTCGTTTTTACGAAAGAAATTCGTTGGTGGCAGTGATACTTATTAAGTAAGCTCAGTTACAGGTGAACATGCATGGCTTTTATTGTATAAGTACAAATAAATTATTTGGTTTGTCCTGTAAAATTATAAAAGGAAGTAGTATTCCCCCAGATTCTTAGAACTATTTTATGATTTTGAAAGGGGAAACTAGCTACTCCGTTAGCACTGTTTTTGTTTAGTTTAATGTAATATCAGTAACTTGTACTTATTATCCCAACTATTTTCCATTACTTTAAAAGCTAATTACATTTGTTACAGGTGGTCAGTCACTCAGGTGTTTTTAGTCTGAGAAAAGGATTTAATAATTGTGGCTCACGGTACTTTTATGAGTCTATCCTTAGGTAGTCTTAGGATTGGTAGTGGCTTCTTTTATTTTATGCTGAATCTGCCATTATACCATGTAAAGTGGATTTCTTTGGGCTTTTGTGGGATTCCAAATTGATAAGCAGAGAGGCAATTACTTTTTAAGAAATAGTAATTTCATTAGGTATTTTAAATATTTATGTATTTTTCTAATTCTCTTAGGAATAGCTGATGGTTATGTCAATTGCCTTTTTTGTTATTCCTATAAAAAAACACTTGATTAAGTTGCAAGGTAAACTAAAAAAATACACGTTCCTTGTAGTGAGCTAGATTTTTAACTATCTGTTAATTCAGTTTTTAAACACTTAACAGTTTGTGTTCTCTGATTTCATGGGACTGTACTGTCAATTCCGTAGGAAAAGATTTTGTGATAGTTAGATATTGAAGAAGACTTTGATTTTCCTGATGATTTTTAGGTACAAAGGCTTAATGTCTGAAACTTGGGATTTCCCTAGGCGAGATTTGTGCTTGCGTATCTAGATTGAGGCAGTGAAGATTAGAGTCCTGTTAGAACTTGCTGTTCCTTTTCTGGGAGTTTTTAAAAGTTAGGTTTTCCATTAAGAACTAGAGCTGTTACAAATAAATGCACATTTTTGCATAGTTATAGGGCTCAGGAGTTGCTGGAGACTTTTGAGATTATCTAGATTAACCTATTCATTTATCAACACAAATGTAGAAACTGAAGTCCAGGGAATTTGTGGCTTGACTAAGGTCATAGAGTGGCAACCCAAGGCTTTTGACTACCAGATTGATAATGTATTTCATAATGAAAATTTAGATTCAAGAACAGCCAAATGATAGATTAAGAAGAACACCAGATGTGGAATCACTCAATCTTCTTGTTGGAGGACACTTTAGAATCTATCTCACCAAGTGGTACCTGTATAAGAGTCTTCCCAGCAAGTGAACACATCAGCCCTGCAAATACTTGAAAATGGGCTATCAGGGCCTCCCTAATTTCTTCAACCAAGCTATTGCTTGGTCTAGCCCAGGGGTGGGGAACTTCACAGTTTGGGTTCAGTCAAAGGGCTGCACTTGTGGACCTAGAGGGTCACATGTGGCCTGGAGGGAGACTAGCCTCAAAGCTCCTCCCATTTCTGTTCTCTTTTTATGCATTCTTTAGTTTATCAATCACAGGACCTTGGTTGAAATGTGTGACCTATTGCTTCTTGTGCCACCTTAAGTAAATTACTTAACCTCTCTGTGTTTTAGTTTCCTCTTCTGTAAAATGAAAAGGTTGTACAAGAGTGTGTGTGTGTGTGTGTTTTTTTTTTCCTTTTAATTTTGGTACTGTACTAGACGTAATTTGGTTTTATACCAGAATATCTTCCCTTGGAAAGTGGCCTGTGACGCTGCAATGTTAAGCCATTTCTCTATGGTCACACAGCTATTATGAGTCAGAGGCAGGATTAGAACTTAGGTTTTCCTGACTCTAGAGTGAGCCCTTTCCCCACTGTGTTGTACTTCCTCTTCCCAAAGCCTGTGATCTTATGAACATAAGTGAAATTGAATCCAGCCTATGACCTGAACATCCAAGGGCTATCTTGTGAGATTGTGTGTTTGGCTACCCTGACAACTTGAAAACATTAGGGAGTTCTTCAGATGTCCTTAACCTCTGATGGATTAAATGAAGATAACATGAAAATGGCAAGTACCATAAAAATGATATGCATTGACAAAACGGTATTATATATTTCTTTTTAGCACCATCCTTGAATTTATCTAAAATTTTTTTGAAACCATTATTTTCAATATGTATCATCTCTTTGGTAATGAGTCTGTAAGTGTATTTATTTTAAATATATAAAGTAGTACTTTATTTTATTTGTCTTAAATGTTCATGATCCAAAGCTTCAATTGGTCTTTCCCTGGAATTGTGAGCAAGTCCATATTTGTACAATTCATATGCTTTGTGATTTTATAGAATTTGATAACATCTACACTCAGATTAACAGTACTGATCATTTTTCAGTTTCAAAAATAATTTCCTTTACTTAGAAAAATCAATATTTGCTAGTAATAGAGAGTGTGTTTAAAACTTTTTACTTTGGAATAACTTTTTTCCTTGGAAAATGGAAGTCAAAATTCTTCAAATACAATTTTAATAATCTAACAATTTATTCCAAAATTTTAAAATGACGTATACTTAGCTTTTTTTTAAGTTTCAAGCCAAAAAGTTTTTTAGCTTGATACTTGTTACTAACATTTTACTGAGAAATTTTTCATTTATGTTAAGTCTTAGGCCTTTTTGTATAAAATAGTTTTTTTGCTCTTCTTGATAATACAAGTATTAATTTTGTCTGCTTATTTTTGCTTGGCTAAGGGGCCAGAGGTGAACTAAATTAAGTCAATCTAATTATTAATAGTAAGCTGTGTTAGACTTAGTGTTTTTTGATAACTTCAATGCTCTCAGTTGGGTGATTTCACAGTTTTGAGTCTTAGAGATATAGATTTCCTAAGATTTTATTCATACAAACTGGGTTCATTCCAGGAGTCCCTACTAATAAAGATTTGTCTTAATTTTCTAGATAAAGTAAATTATATGGGCATTTTCTCACTTGAAAGTTACAACTCTAGAAAATGATACTAATGTGTATCTGGTTTTGGGTTTTGGTTTTTTTTTTTTGGTTGTATGTCAGTTTGTGTGGATTAGGATCATTACTTTTCCTAATAAGTAGGTAGATTCATTCAGACTGTTTTTCAGTCTGTTTTATTTCCTTTTTTGTCTAAAAACTGTGTTTTTCTTTAAATTACATAACTTTTAAAATGAACAATTTCAGTCAAATATTAATTACTTTGTGTAATTGTGTTTTTATTCAGGTCAAGTTATAAATATGCCATTTACTTTACCATATAAGATATGATTTGTATGTGATTTTTCATTGTGGTTACAGGAGTTCCATTCAACAAACA